TATGTCTTTTGTATATTTTGTATCTGATTTATACATAGTAAAAACAAATTTCATACAACTAATTATATATTATATAACTTATCTATAAATTATCTACAACNATTGCTGCTCTCTTTTCCTTTGCTTTACATTACTGGAATTAGGGATTGAGAGATAGAGAGAGACCTAGAGAGAATTCCCAATTATTTGTAACATCACCCAATTCAAATAAATAATATATTTTGAAAATCCAAATTCGAATTCAAAGTTTAAAAACTTTTTAATGAATATCAATGGTGGAATTATTGTTCTCTCGTGCAAAATACGTGGGAATAAAGTCTTTCGAGTATGTTAACGAGATTATAATTTGTGTTGAAGGAGGTTGAGAATGGTATATAGGAAACTCAATGGAAACAAAACATGGAAAATTAAGACACTTTAGATCGTACATGACCAGGCTTCAAACGAGTAGAATACCCGGTATTAGGCTGTGGATATTATATACGGGGAAAATATCAGTTATGTCCATTTATAAGTAACTTATTATAAAAATTGGTCAATTCATAAAATATTACTAATATTAGCCAATTAGTTATTTGTAACCAAAAAGAGTTAAATTTTTGCTTTCTTTTAAGTGAGTATTATTAGAACAGATTGGATACACCTTAAGGAGCTTAAATCTCAGTCTTGGGATGATTTGGTGGAGTTTTGAGATGGTTTGAATTGAAAATTCGAAGTAGAAGATTAACATAAAAAAATGATAGGTGTATCACATTGTGTACCACATATGTATCATATTTGTGTCAAATGTGTATCACATGTATATCCATGAATACCTGCGTGTGAGATACACGTGTCCCAGAAGAATTTTTTGAACTCGATTTTAACTATGAATTTTGATACAAATTCAATCCAAATCACCTCCAATCTTTCTCAAATTTTGTATATTCACTCATCTATATGTTTTCAATGAATCTCAGCCATACCCATTGAAAAAAGTCCTTTTTTGCTTAGATATTTGGAATCTTATAT